ACGACGATGATGACGATGATGACGATGATGATGATGATGATGATGATGATGATGACGACGATGACGACGATGATGATCATGAAGGTCAGTCCCTTTAAATTTGCAGTAGTATATATGTTTTTATATGCCTTTGTCTCTTTCTGTGTTAGCATAGCATCTGCATCTGAAGCACATATCAAACTGGGTACTGTCAAAGCATCAGTTATCACTGACTTTTGAATTTTAATGACAATAGGCTGTTTGTTCCAGTGATTGGCCTTACAAATTGCCAAAACACAGCCCAGAAACAAACTAAACCACACCTCTGATGCAACAATGTGGAACCTGTGTTATGTTACAAGCTGTGACTGAGGACTGATGCTTTGCCATGCAGTTGGCAATGCGTTTCAGTGCACGTTACATTACAGGACAGTGTGCGGAAGGGGAGGAGCTAAGCCAAACTTTAGCCACTCCCCTCTCGTTAACATTCTTACAACCTCATCATCTCTTTGTCAGTTCTTATTTGAATGTCTCAGAGCTCATAGGTAATCAAAGTCCCTCCTCCACCCCTTTCCAGCTGTCCATTTCTCTTGCTGTCTCTGACACTGTGTTCTTTTCCCTGCTTAACTAGAGTTATGAGCACTCTGGGGAAATTGAACTGGCCCATCTGAAGTCCAACTGTCCGAAGTCCTTCGTACAGTACACTAGATATGAACTTGGGGACTGCAGAAGCATTGATTTGAGAGAGAGAAAGAACAAAAAACCAATTTCACACAAACCAAGCCTGACTTGGGAATCAGTCATTGGGGTCACTAGTCTGAGATCGTTTGATTTGTGTTTCGTTTGAAAGAATGGTTCCTCCACTAGGATCTTCCTTTCTCATTTGTTTTGGATCAGATTGACCTGCATTTGTGTCTTTATGTGAACCTACAGAGAAAGAAAGAGAGACAGTGATATTGGGGGTGGGTTAGTGGTGCTGCAGAAAAAGACAGAGGGAGAATAAAGCGCGAGGGGAGGTGCAGGAGGGCAACTACCCAAATACATTCATTTAAACAGATGTAAAGTTTCTCTCTTTCTCCATATCTCTCAATCTCTTTCTTTCTCTGTGGAGCATTTATGCTGCTGTCTGTTAAAGAGGCATGTAATGCACAGAATTTGTTTTTCAAGCCTGGTGTGTGCATTTGTAAAATTGCTACAGATAAGATAATAGAATTCTTTCAATGTTTCTATGAACAGTGTTATAATCATACCTCTTTTTATTTTCTAAAACGCTGATGTTCTGAACCATTAGATACAATAATAACGTTTAATGCACATGTCAGTAGCTTACATTAATGATCAACATTTGTTTTGGGTATTATGTAATTTTCCCCTTACTATTTAATGCTTAGATGGCATTGATATCTTTTCATTTAATACAAATATTTTGAATCATTTGTGAAACTGAACAAATGTATAACTCCTCATTTGTCATGAAATGTTACAACAGTGGATTTGCTGATTTTCAGACCTTCAGGGAAAGAGTGTTTGGGAAAAGAGAGAAACGTCTCTTTCTAAAGAGGAAGTCAAAGAGCCAAAGCTCTGTCAAATGTTAAATTGTCAAGAGATGAAATGGTTGACTGCTTTTTTCTCTTATTTGGAAAAAATGGGATTTTGTGATGACTGTGAACATTTTTGTGTGGAAAATATGTCCATATGTCTTTAACCCTACTTTCATTCATTAAATAAATCAAATGATCATAAACTGCCTATATGCAAATCTGTTACCAAAGGCAGAGGACTTGTATTAGAGCTGTAAAAATACACAAAGAACATCATGACGTTTATCAGAGACCTGTAAAAATGAATTTACCTGTATGATGACCAGAATGCAGAGCTACAGACATTGAAACTTGTGAGTATCTGTTCTGACCACAGCATGTTCTATATGAACTGTGTTTTCATGAGTGCCTGGGATATTACAGTAGTTTGGGAACATGCGACTGCCACAGTCCTAATTAAAATGTATGATAGATTTAAACATCTGGGTGAAACATTTTCTTTGCTGTTTTTAAAAGAGAAAAACCTTTTCCCAACACAATGAAACCATCACCATGATTTGCAACATATTTTTATTGTATGTGATATGGATTTATACTGTGGTTCCCAACCTGGGAAGCCAAAGCTTCATGCAAAGTTCTTGATTTTAAGGTGTAGGAAAAATATATATGGAAAAAATATATACAGTAGGCCTATATCTCAGCATTTCATTCATTACTGTGAAGAGAACTAAATGAAATTGTAATCTTTAAAGTTTAATTTATTAAGTCCTGAACACAAGCTATATTCACAGAGCCTTCACTCTCTGATAAACAACGTCATCCTGCATTAGAAAAGTACGCAGTTGAACAGACAAAGAGCAAATAGAACAATCCGATACAAAAGAATTCAGTAGGATAAGATACGATACTATATGATACTATACAATACGACACAATACAAGACAATATGATGATACAATTTGTTGCAATACCACATGACAAGACCAATATACTGTTTGTTCCCTCCGCTCCCCCATTCAAGCCGCTCAATATCACTTTGTGCTCAACTCAGATTTCAACCTGCTCCTCTAAAATTGAGGAGGCCCAGCCTCGTACCCTACGCTGTACCTACTGCAGGAATTTGATATATAAGCATAAATCAGGCTTAGGAGAAAAAGGCTATTCTTAATATGTAAAATTATTGTCATAATTCTGAGGAAAACTAGTAAAAAAATTATGACTTCTTTTCTTGATTTTATGTTTAATTCAGAATTAAGACTTTATTCTGAGAAGTTTTAGTTTTTACTTGTAACTATGTAATTCAGACTTTTCTCAGAAGTAATCTAACAACTCTTTTTTAACATATGTAGTCATTTTCTTTAGGATATTGCAGGTAAACATTTACATTTAAATGTGTGTGTGTATACATACTGTATATATGTATGTATATATATACTGTATAAATCAAAAAAAGTTAACTGAAGTCAGATGTATTCGGTCACTCCCCAGGATCCCAGCCCCAAAAAAGAGACACATCTATACATATATATATTTTATATTCTGCCTTTATATGGACATTATTTGTCTTTCAAATAGTTACTGAAAATGTACTAAATGTGAACTATAATAAACTATTACTTTATGTCTACATTATCAGTGGCGTACCATGTATTTTGATGTTGCATTATTAAGAGTAAAAGTCATGTATTTATCATCAATATTATGTGCAGATGATGATGATGATGATGATGATGATGAAGATGACGACGATGATGATGACGACGATGGTGCTTATCACACAGGCTCTGTGTGCTCCTATTGTGAATTCTGTGAGGTATGTCCGGCATTAAATTGGAGAAATTTAATGTAGTCATCGAAGCTCTGTCAGAAAAGAACACATTTCTTTCTAACTGAATGTGACTTCTTCCAGCACTGTGACAGCTGTGACAAATGTCCATGTGAAGAGGGAGACAAGTCTGAACACTGCGATGACTGCAAGGTGAGAAAATACATATTACTGATTGTGAAATTTGACCAACTCTCCTCTTACTCCAAAGGAAATGGAAATCTTTAAAGCATCAAAGCTTTATCCTTTCACACTTTTATATATTGAAAGCGATGTGCTCGTCACACACTACATAAACATCAGTGACGGCTGGTGGTGATTTTTGGGCCGGGTGGGCTAACAAATGCTTTACACTTATCAATACGTCACACAGCAGCAACAGTAGCCACAGTAGCCACAGTAGCATCACATCAAGTTACAGCAACAACATTGTATACTTTGTTATAGCAAGTGCTCTACGGCAACACGAGACATACCAAAAGAATGAGCTGATGCCAAAAAAATCTCGTTTCAGAGCTTGGGCATACCTTATTTAAAAAGCAGCTCACATCGACGGCCTTTCTGTGATGCAAAACAGGTTAATCACCATGTCATTAAAGTCTGCTGATTTTTGGATGAAGTCCCGCTCAATGGACAGCATAGCCAGTGCGTTTAGCCTGTCCTGTCCCATTGTACTTCTAAGAAAGGATTTGATCCTCTTCAGTGTACTGAAACACCTCTCTGACTCTGCAGATGTCATGGGGGTTGTGATGGCTATTTGTGTTACTTTCAGTGTTTCAGAAAAAGTGCTCTGAAGATTGTTCTCAGTCA